CCATTGCTCTTAAAATGAAACCCAAGATCCTTAACATGGCCTACATGACCCTGCATAATTTGTCTGTGGGTTACTTTTCCCTCTTCTCTTGTAATATGTGTTCTAGCATAGTAGTCATCCTTTTTTTCCCTTCTTTCCTGCCTCAGGGCTTTATACATACTGCTCTGTCTGCCTAGAATACTTTTTCCCACCCACTCTGCTTAGCTAACTCTCCATCTCATCCTTCTGCTGTAGATACCTGACATTTTTGTCTGCCTACCACTACTGCCCCTTTACAGGAAAACAATATTCTGATTTTCCATGAAGAACTCATAGTCCAGCTGCAGGCTCAAGCAAGCAGCATCACAGTTCCTGACCACACTAGTCAGTGATGGGCATATGACCCAAGTCAAGTCAGTGAGAGCCAATTCTGGGACTTTGGGAGCAGCACACTTTTCTAGATATGCAGAGATGGACACCTGGAGCTGCTGGCCGCCATCTCCCATCACCAGGGGAGAACCTGCCTGAGCCAACACTCAGAAGCCCTAGGAAGAGAGTGAGTGAGTTGAAGTGTGAGATCTTTGAGCCCAATGATCCAGCTGGGCCTGAGGCCAGCTAGCTCTAACCTGGAACTTTTCAGTTAAATGATCCACGATTTTTGAAATCATTCAAAAAATGATTCATTGGGGCCAGCATGGTGGCGCAGTGGTTAAGTTCAGCGTGCTCTGCTTTGGCGGCCTGGGGTTTGCAGGTTCATATCCCAGGTGCAGACCTATGCCACTTGTCAGCCATGCTGTGGTGGCGACCCACAAATAAAATAGAGGAAGATTGGCATGGATGTTAGCTTAGGACTAATCTTCCTCAAGCAAAAAAAAAAAAAAAAAAATCCAGGAAGATTGTCAACAGATGTTAGCTCAGGGCTAGTCTTCCTCAGGAAAAAAAACCAGAATATTTACTGAATGAATTAGTGATAACATCAAACATTTATTGAGGTCTTACTATACTAATAAATGTATAAATACATTTATTAATCTATTTAATTCTTAGATTAATTCTTATGTAGATACTATCATCCCAATTTTTCAGATGAGATTGCAGGTTTAATGACTGACTTTCCTTTTCCAGTCCCATTTCCCATCCCAAATCTTACTGATGGCCTCTAACATCTCTAGGATGTGTTCCCTCCCCTCTACCCTCTGCCCTCTGCCCCCTGCCAGTTCTCACCTAGATCACTGCAATAGCATCTGACATTCTTTTTTCCTGAACTCCAGCCAAAATCAGTACATAAGTGCTCTCGTTTGTATGAGTTCTCATTTTCACTTCCATGCCTTTGTTCATGCCGTGTGCCCTTTATTGGGAGTATAAATCCGACCCCCCTTTTAGGGGTTGAACAAGCTCAAATGCCATCTTCAGCAGCAACTGTCCTTCTCATGACACTTTCCTAACCACCTTTTATCGTCTGTATTTACACCTTTCATTATTAGACTTTGTAAGACTGAGGAGGGATATGTATTCGTGTCAGATTTATCTGTGTATCACCAGGCCCACAGTACCCACTGATAGGCACTCATTAAATGTATTTGAGGGCCAGCCCCGTGGCGCAGCGGTTAAGTGCACACGCTCTGCTCTGCAGCCCAGTGTTCACAGGTTCAGATCCTGGGCACACACCGATGCACCGCTTGTCAAGCCATGCTGTGGTGGCGTCCCATATAAAGTGGAGGAAGATGGGCACAGATGTTAGCCCAGGGCCAGTCTTCCTCAGCAAAAAAGAGGAGGATTGGCATCGGATGTTAGCTCAGGGCTGATCTTCCTCAAATGGATGAATACTTTCTATTCTCTGGCAAAGTAGTGGAAAGTGTGAGAGGAGTTCAAGTAATCAGGAACACTACAAATTCTCAAAGTTTCCAATAATTACTCTGGAATTTACAGATTTTCAAAATGCCTCAGGAGATTCACCTTATTCATAATTTAAATTGCTTTCATTTCATCAAACCTATCTGTGAAATTTTCTTAGGAGTTGGTTATAACTGGGCTGGCCTGCCAGCCTGGGTAGGTTAGGAAATTCTGAACAACAGAAGGCACAAAGTGAGAGGGCTACAAAAGCCTTTTTTCTTCTTTCTTTTTAAATAGCTGTTTATTGAACATTCACTGTCCACCAGGCACTCCTCTAAGCACTCTTTCATTGGCTTCTCCCAACAGTCTTGATGAGGTAGGCATGTAGTAACACCATTATACAATAAATTCTGCATAACGTTCCCAGGCTGAAGGCAATTTTTAGTATTAAAATTACTAGTATTTAGTTAGTATTAACTAGTATTAGTGTTTAGTATTAAAATTACTTTTTAGGTTTTAGCTTACTCCGCCTAGGGATTATGGGTGGAAAAAAATCCATGACTTTGTCTTCATAGACTAGTTGCCTAGTCATGATTAATCCTTTCTAACAGAATAAACACACTTCCTTCAAGTTTGTTCCATTTCAGACTCCAAGGGATTACAGTTATTGGCAAAACAATCTGTATTTAAGCAATAAAGTACAAATCAGAACACGAAGACCTCATTTGGCTGCTCTAACACTCAAACTGGAAACCATGACCATACCATTTCTGTAAAAAGGTGTTTTGGTTTGTAAAATAACTGAAACAGGTCCACATACTCTGATTGACTGTACCTTGGCAGAAATTTACAATGCAGAGGATAACTTCACTATAAGAGCAGTATCAGTGTAGTATGGGTGGAGGCGAGATTGCAGTGAGTTGAGGATAAAAGAAACTATGAAAGAAGACTGTTTTTGGAAACTTATGTTTCCACTAATCTATTGTTGGCTACCTAGGTTTGTATGCCTCACTTGTGAGCTGTTATTTAAAACAGGTCTCAACTTCATCTATAAGTGGAAACTACAATCATAGTATCTCAGTTGTGAAGGTTAAATGAGTGAATGCCTGGTTAAGTTCCTTGGCATAGTATTTGGCACAACTAAGCACTCAAATTATAATTATTATGATAAGCTTAGTTTTAGGGTGTTGCCTTCTCAGTTTCACAAAAACCAAGTTTGGAATTTGTATTCAAATAGAGGTAGGCTGAGTTCAGCTTTTTAAGAGTAACAGTTTAAATTTTAGAGAATTTTAAACCTAGCCTAACAGTTTAATAGCTTTCTCTTCCCTTCACACCTGCCCCTCACATGCACACACACATACACAAAACCAGTTTCTGAAACATCACCTGGGCCAATTACTATGGGTATAACAGTCCCAGTTACATTTTGTAAAATTTAAGTATAAACTCAATGTTGAGACTCTCTATTAAGGATCTGGTAAATAACTGAAAATATTATGTATTCTGTGAGAAAACTGAAAAAATATTCTAGGCAATGCATATGCTATTAACTCACATACTCCAAAGGGAAAATTTCAACTCCAAAATACCTTATGAGCAAGTGAGGCAGTCAGCATACTAAAGCACGGAGCATAGTAACCATTCATTTCTATTTCATATTTGAGGAAACAGCTCAATTAGTTACTCAAAGCCATACTTACCAAAGCCAGAGGTAAATAAGGACTAAGTACAAGTCTTTTGATTCTTAGCATTATATTCAGTAATACATTCACTAGGTATTCTTTAACTGTACTTTTGGTGGAAGACTGAAATCTTTAAAAGGAAAAATTCCATGTTGGAACCAAGCAAATAAACCACATTACTTCAAACTAGTGGGAGAATAACCTGGAATTACAGGCGAGCCCTCACTGTAGGATTTCATACCATTATGAAAATTGGCTTACGAAGGTCCTCTATTTAGTTCCTGCCTTCTTGATCTGCATACTAAATCAGTTTCTTCCCCACAGATAGGAAGGTAATCATGGCTCTTCTCCAAAAGATTAGGTTTAAATTAATTTTTTGACTTACAGAACTTAAGTCTCTCTAGTCTGAATGAATAAAGAATCTAAGGGTTTGGGGTAAACTACAGTGTAGAAGAGGCACTAGATCCAGGTTCCAGGCTTGTCTCCACCATCTGTTGACTGACTGCAACACGGACCCAATTCCACAGAATCATTAGATTTTAAAAGGCTGCTTTTCTATGTACAAAATAAAACTGCAATTTTACTTTGAAAATCACTGCTAGTACATTATTTTTACATTTTGGAATACACATTTTCATTTTTTACTGTAATAGACTAAAGGTAATTAGGCTTATCACATACTGCCAAACTCTTGACAACGTTCAAAATGAGAATGTAATAGTGCCATGGAAGATATGGTCCCAGTTTTGACTAAACTCTACTTTATGGCTAATCGTTAATATTTGTTTCTTACATGTCAGGCACTATTCTAAGCCCTTTGCAAACATTTAATCCTCACAATCCTATGGACTATCTCCATCTTACAAATTAAAAAAAAAACAAACGAAACTCCCAGATTCAAGTAACTTGTCCAGGGTTGCAGAGCTACAGGTGCAACCAGGATTTCAACATTTAGCCCAGCTGGTTTTAACCACTATGCATACTGCCTCTCAAATCAGATCCTCAGATACAAACCAGACCCTGCACTTCACAAGATGTGTGCGTATCCCGTACTTACTCATCTTGACCTCATCCCTGGCTCTTATCTCTTGGTCTGATGATTCCTCTTTCATCCCTCCCTCCATTTTCAGATTTTCTTCAAGGTAAACTTTCCACCCTTACCCTAAGTTCTAACCTTGTTTCCCCTATACTGCTTCCTGTCCCTCAAATGCCCTATTCTCTCCATTTTTGAAACATAAAAAGCCCTCACTGTGGCAACCATTCTCCTTTTCCCTAACTTTTTATGTCATTGTATCTTTTTTTTATATAATTTTATTTATTTATTTTTTCCCCCAAAGCCCCAGTAGATAGTTGTACGTCATAGCTGCACATCCTTCTAGTTGCTGTATGTGGGACGCAGCCTCAGCATGGCAGGAGAAGCGGTGCGTCAGTGCGCGCCCGGGATCCGAACCCAGGCCGCCAGCAGCGGAGCGCGTACACTTAACCGCTAAGCCACGGGGCCGGCCCTATGTCATTGTATCTTGATTCAGGCAGGCTAAATCGCTTCCAACAGACAGCTTCTTCAATTTGCCTCAGCTCATACTAGTCTAAAATGCCTCTGCTGCCATGCTACCTCATTCACACAGGTCCTTTTTCTAACTGCATACAATCATCTGGGCCACAACTCTATTTAATACAATCCCATGGCTTTCTTATTCTGCCCCATTTGGGCTTAAACATACCATCTTCCGCCATTCAGCATAAACCCCAAATACTAAATTAAACCCTGTTCCCATGCCTCCATTAACTTTCACACTCAGGTTGATTGCACACATATATTTAACAATACACTTTTATATAGAATGCTAAGAGCACTTTTCTTCATATTTTACAGAAGGACTTGAAACATATGGACTTTCTATTAATATTTATACCATAGCATAGCCAAATCTAACTCCTGAATAGATGCATTACAATTTGTTTAAAGGCTTAATGTCAATAACGAGGGGAGGAAAAAGCATAAGTTTATTTTACATAACTGAATGAAAAATAAATTCAAGAAATAGTAAATAAAATTTAATATGGTCTCATGCGCCCTGGAGGTGGTGGTGCCCGATTTGGAGGGGTAATTGCTATGTCCAAATAATCTCCTATTTGGAACTTCTGCGACTGCAGGGTCATGGAATCGTCAGTCCCCTTTCTCCCAGACATGGTGCTGCCAATCTCCTTTACTCTGCAGGAAAGGAGATCAACTGTTAATGGATCACAAATCAATGAAACTTAATATGTACTACAAAGTGAATATGGGACTGGATTTGCTCCATTATCTTATAGCACAGTTAAAAATTTACTATATTAAGCTAAACCAGATATTAACATAAATCTATATTCCCCCCACTAAAGAGAATCATTAAAGGGGTTATCCCCATCAGTTAAAACATATCAAAACCAAAAAGAGATTACAGGAGTTACAAATGAAAAGTTACCTACCGATAGCCAGGTCTTTTAAGATCCGTAAAAACAATTGCAAAATTGAAGTGTGTGCCCTTCTTTCTAGCTTCTGGGTAGACTTCTTTTACTAAACTAGTCAGTTCTTTCAAGGTTGCATCCATCCTGAATTTTTTTAAAGAAGATATTACATTTGATTAATCAGCAATAATATAAGAAGGATATTGACATACGAGTTAATTACATGTGTCTGAATTGCAACTTACGTTAATAACTGTCTAGGTCTTATACTTGAGTTAATTATAAACCACCTAATACTACTATTTACCCTCAAATACTCCCCTTACCAGCATCAACGTCTGAAATTGTGATGAATTTAAAGTTATGAATACTAACAGTATGCTAAACGGGATTTCAGAATTACATATGCTATCCTTTTTTGCTATGTAACATCTTATTGGCCTAGTTATTTACCCCTTCAAGGTTAACTAGTCCAAATTAATCCAAATACTTAAAATAACTATTTCATTATTTCTAAGACATATACTTTTCCATATTTTAGCTTCTCTGAAATTAGAATGCATCTTAGAATCAATGTGATAGGAAAGCCTTTTCATAAAGATGTGCAGTGTCTTTCCTTTCTAAGATGGAATCTTATGATGAGTTTTACAATAGATAGGAGTCCTGGGCCGGCCCCCTGGCTTAGCAGTTAAGTGCACACGCTCCGCTGCTGGCGGCCTGGGTTCGGATCCCGGGCACACACCGACGCACCGCCTCTCTGGCCATGCTGAGGCCGCGTCCCACATACAGCAACTAGAAGGATGTGCAACTATGACATACAACTATCTACTGGGGCTTTGGGGGAAAAAAAT